TTGGAAAATGTTGATAATTCAAATTCTTCTGAAATTAGTTACATTTTTCAGTATGTATTTAATTAATTAATAAAAATAAGGGTTTTATAGAAGAATTTTAGTTAAAAACACTTTAAAAAATTGAAATTTGGAGACTTTACAAATAATTGCAGAAATTCAACTATTTTCAAAAATAATAAAATTCTACGCAAAAATTCAATTATGTTCAAATTTTTTTTTAAAATTCTCTTCAAAATTTCAACTATTTTTATAAATAATAAAATTCTTCTTCCGAAATCTCCGAAAAAAAAATTTTTTATTGAATTCTTTTGGAAAATTTTATTAAATTGATATTGAAAATCATTTAATTGAGGAAGATTTTTTAAAATAATTGGAATTTTGACAAGAATTTTATTACAATTTTTGAAAATAATTGAATTCTGAAGAAGAATTTTGTTATTTATAAAGATAATTGAATTTTCGCGAAGAATTTTATTGCTTTCGAAAATAATTGAATTTCGGCAATTGTAACTTATTCAAAATTATTTTCATCATTTCAATTCAATTATTATTTTCTAGAATTTTCAATTAAAATTCTTCTTTAAATCAATTATTTTTAATAATTTTTGTTTTTTAAAACTTTTTCAAAAAAATTAATTTCTTAGAATTTTCAATTAAAAGTATGAAAAATTCAGTCTTTCAAAGATTTTAATTTGAAGTCTTTTTAAAATTCAATTAATTAACATTTTGTAATTATTTATCATTTTTCCAAAATACAATTATTATCTTATAATTTGACTGAAATTAATGTTTAAATCAATTTTTATTACCTAGATAATTCTACCAGAATTCAATTATTTAATAAAATTGAATGTTTCTTAAAATTGAATCTTATAATGAATGTCATTAACAAATTTTTAAGAATACATAATTGAATTACTGTGAATAATTTTATTACTTTTAAAAATAATTAAATTCTTGTGATGAATAATAAAATTCTTCTCCGAAATTCAATTATTTTCAAAAATTTTAATAAAATTCTTGGCAAAATTTCAATTTTTTTCAAAAATTTTCCTCAATTCAATTATTTTGAATACAATTTTAATCAAATTTCTCTAAAAAATTAATTATTTTCCTAAAAGTTTTATTAAAATTTTATTTGAGAATTCAATTATTAAAAAAATTGTGAGAAAAATTGTTGATATTGTCCATATTTTTAAATACTTCTACTCATTCGATCCTGAATAATTATAGCTATAACAATTAGGAAAAATTCATCCAAAAAAATGTTTTATTTGAACCGTTTTTTTCAATGTAGAAAAGAAAATTAAAAATTCCAGAAAAGAAGGCAAAGCATCTTTTTGACATTCGTCTCTCACGTCATTAAAGTTATTTTCAAATGAAGACTTTCTTCTTTTAAAGGCGCGATCCGTTAATCACTCGACGAAAAAAAAATGATAAGCAGATGCGAGTAAGTTGGACCAAATTCATGGCTGGATTTAAGACTTAAAGGTGATTTCTCCCCTTTTGAAAAATCATTAGTGAAATTCTGTCTTATGAATAGAATTCAAGATGCTGCAGTATCAATAAATGTGTATATATAAATTCAAGGAGCGAGGAGGGGATGATGATGGCACCTATATCTATATTTAGCAAAGTGCATTCTGAGGAAGGGGTACATGTATACGTTGAAGACGGGAAATCGGGGGACGGATGGCAATACTGAAAATAAAAGTTTATAGAGAGAGAGAGAGGGACAATGTTGCGATTCAAGTTTGGACCATTTCCAAATGGCAAATAGCAAATCCGCAAAATCTGGCCTTATGAATGAGCTGACCAACCAATGAGAGGGATCTCTCACTCCAGAGAGAATAAGCATTTGCGCGACGCTGAATTACTCTGCTCGCGACTGATTAGATTAATGAAACTGTGATTAATACTATTAGCCTAATCTTGGAAATGGTTATTTTTGTTCTCTGAATAGCGAATTTCTCTCTAATTTTGACGTCAACGTTTGAACGAATTAAGTTATTTTGCCCGTTCATTTCGATTAATTGCCGCACGGCCCGCATTTTCTTCATTTTGTTGTGTCTGTGATTTGTATTAATTGCTGTAGATTCTCTTGATTTTTTTCGGTAACATCTTGCAGCTGAGATTTTTATTTTGTTAGAATTTTGTTTTTCTTCAAATTATTCTATTTTTCCAAAGGAATTAAAATTTTGAAAAAATTTCAAAAAAAAACCTTTAGAAATTTAATAACTTATATGAATATTTTATTATAAAACATAAAGAAATCGATCACTCCGAGTCTTCGACTCGGAGTGATCAAATCCTTTATGTTTTGTAATAATTACAGATGATCGAGTTATAAAATCATTATTTTTTTATTATAAAAATATTGTTACTATAACTTCTTCAAAATTGTTTTCACCATTTTAATTCAATTATAATTTTTTAGAATTTTTAACTAAAATTAATGTATAAATCAATTTTTATTAGATATTTCTACGAGAATTCAATTATTTAAATACAAAAATAAATAATTTATTAAATAATTGAATATTTCTCAAAATTGAATTCTCATAAAAAATTTTATCAACAAATTATAAATAATTGAATTCTTTCGAAGAATTTAAATGAACTGAAATTCAATTTTAAATCAATTTTTATCAGAAAATTTTACTAGAATTCAATTACTTAAATACAAAAATAATTAATTTTTTGAATAATTGAATGTTTCTTAAACGTAAAATTCATTCGACTAATTTCAATAAAAATTTGAAGAATAATTTCACTTTTCGAGGAATTCAATTAAAGTGTATAAAAAAGAATTGAAATTCTCCTATGAGTTTTATTATTTTTTATGAAAATAATTGAATTCCTGTAAAAAATTTTATTATCTATGAAAATAATTGAATTCTTGCGAAGATATTTATAAAAAATTTGTAAATGATTCAATTTAATTATTATAATTATATATCAGAATTTTTCACTAATATCTTCTTTAATTCCTTTTTAAATGAATTTTTATTAGAAAATTTTACTAGAATTCAGTTATATAAAAAAAGTAAATCTTAAAAATAAATTTATTTGACTGATTTCAATAAAATTTTTAAGAATAATTCCATTTTCCGAAAAATTCAATTAAAATGTTTAAAAAATAATTGAAATTCTGCTATGAGTTTTATTATTTATGAAAATAATTGAATTCCTGTAAAAAGAATGTTATTATTTATGAAAATAATTGAATTTCTGTAAAACATTGTATTATTTATTAAAATAATAGAATTCCTGTTAAAAATTTTATTATGTATGAAAATAATTGAATTATTGCGAAGAAATTTATAAAAAATTTGTAAATAATCCAATTCAATTATTATATTCCAGAATTTTTCACTAATATTCTTTTTTAATTAATTTTTAAATCAATTTCTATTAGGAAATTCTATTTATTCCATTATTTAAGTACAAAAAATAATTTATCTACTGTATATTTCAATGTTTCTTAAAATTGAATTCTCAAAAAAAATATTATCAACAAATTTTTAAATAATTGAATTCTCAAATAGAATTTTAATAAAATTTTTAGGAATAATTAATTTTTTTAGAGAAATTGGATTAAAATTATATTAAAAATAATTAAAATTCTGCATTTACTTTTATTATTTATGAAAATAATTGACTTGATAAAAAGAATTTTATTATTTACGAAGATAATTGAATCCCTGTAAAAATTGTATTATTCATGAAAATAATTGAATTATTTAGAAGAAATTTATGAAAAATTTGTAAATAATTAAATTTTGGAGAAGAATTTTATTATTTTTAAAGATAATTGAAATTTTTACGAGAATTTTTGAAAAATTTTTGAACATAATTGAATTTTTGCGAAGAATTTTATTACTTTTGAAAATAATTGAATTTATGCAATCATTTATAAATTCTCCTAAACTTCTCCAAATTATATCGTACAATTTACGAACTTTTCGAGCTTTTTCAATTAAATTACGGACTTTACGGACCTTTTTCCAAGAAAACTAGCTTTTACGGACTTCAAGCAAAAAAACAAAAAGATTTTTAAGTTTCAAAAAAATAATTAAAAAATTGAAAAAGAAAAGGTTTTCTTAACGAAAATGATTATCTACAAAGCCAAGAAAAAGCAAAAATAACGATCGAAAGATGTGCAACCGTTTCCACGATTTTGTGAAAATTATTCAAAAAGAAGCAAAAATTCTCTACAAGAAGATAAATTCACAAAAAAAATCTGCAAAGCGATAAATCTGAAACACGTTTTCCCTCAGATCGAAATGATTTTTACACTTTATAATATACATAATACATTGTTACCCTAAATAGCTAAACTTGAAACTCGTCACGACACGAAAACAGAATGTCTCTTCGTGACTATATAAAATCTCGAACTGCATTTGAATGCCAAGAAAGATGCAAATTGAAAAGAACGGTGTAAAACGATTTACGAATAACAAGAAGCCTTTCACTATATAGTATGTATAGTAGTTTGTTTTTAAGGACGCGTTTCACTACTGTGTGGCATGGCGTCTCCTTTTCAATTCGATCGAGTTATTATGTCATTATGTCAAGCAAATACCACTCACGACGATTTATTCCTACAATCAATATAAATTTTATACAATTCGAATGACTCAAAAAAAAATATAATACGAGGAAGAAAAAAATATTAACATCAAAAATTTTATACATTCCAAACAGTGACTCAAACAATTAACATCATAAATTTTATTCCATCCCAAAAAACAAACACTCGACAAAATTTATTTTTCGCCACAAACTAGAATTCAAATGTATTTTTAGAAAACTAAATTTAAATCTATCTATTAAATTAACGTGAAGAAATTACAGTCATTTATTCGTTTCCTTCTAATTTCCCCAGGAAGTAGTTTTTTTCGACTTTTGTCTATTAAGAAACAAATAAATTATGAAAACAGCCAAAAAATAATGATAGAAATAAAAATGAAATGATGATTAATTCTTTTTTGCAGAAGTACAAAATCAGAAGGAAACAGTATTAATTCATGAAAGATTACACCTACGATGTGAAGCAACACCGGAAGCAGAATCGATAATTTGGTACAAGGACGGTGAAATCCTAAAGGGAAAGATGATGAGAACTCGTATTTTAAGACAGAGTTTGAAAATTCGTTCGGTACGTATGGAGGACTCAGGGAACTATAGTTGTCGATTCAATTCAGATCAGCACGTCGAATGGCGTAACATATCAATTCAAGTGAAGCAGTACCAGAATTACGACTATCAAGACGACAAGGAGACACTGGGAAATGTCCAAAGTGCCTATGCACCTGAGGAAGAAACCAATGAACTCGACATTGAATCCAGAAGTAAGAAATAAAAATCTCATAAATATATTACATTACAAGAAAAAATAGAGCATAATTTCCTTTAATGTTAATAAAGTCCCCTTGACGGAAGGAAAAAATGATAAACTCTTTGTTTTATTCTGGATTAGCTCACTATTGAAATAGATTAAACTCAACATTTTTTATATTTTTTTACTCCGAACTCCTGATGTTATTTATTCTCCAAACTTTTTACAGTGTAAGCATTGACGCTAAGTAAAGAAATTTTTTTAACAAAGCCAAAAAAGAATCAAATCATTTTTCAAGTGTTTCAGGTAAAAAAAAGTGCCCTGAAAAATTTTTTAACTCTAAAAGGTGAAATTAGTGCCATTTTTAATTTCTAAAACCGGTAATAATAGTTCTCGACACTGTACGTCGACGCTAACTTCAGGGACATTAAATTTTTTACAGTGTCTATAAAGTTAATTAACTCAGCTACAATTATACAGTAATCACAGGGTTGCCACAAAAATTTAATTTAATTTTTCTATTACATTTATTTACCAATTTATTTAATTGTAAAATTATTCAAAAACACCAATAACTTCATTTTTAAATAAATATTTAAACATTATTATTTTTCCATAGGAATTGAGATTTTCAAAAATTACAAAATATTATAAGAATATTGTTACTGTGTAACTACTTCAAAATTATTTTTATCATTCCAATAAAATTCAATTATTATATTCTAGAATTTTTAACTGAAATTTTTCTTTAAAACAATTATTTTTAATAATTTTTATAAAGATCTTTGAGAATTTTCAAATCTATTTGTTTACAATTCAATTTTAAGAAATTTCGATTATTCGGAAATTCTTCAATTAAATCTTCAAATAAAAACTTTAAATAATTTGAAAAAAAATTCAATTTAACTATTTTAAAAACATTAATTCTACAGAATTTTTAGATTAAAGTATGAAAAATTCAAATTTTCGAAGAAAATTCATGCTATAATTCTTTTAATATCCAATTATTATCTGAAATTTTAACTTAAATTCATTTTTAAATAAATTTTTATTAGAAAATTGTACGAGAATTCAGTTATCTAAATGCAAAAATAAATAATTTATTGAATAATTGAATATTTCTTAAAATTGAATTTTCATAAAGAATTTCATCAACAAATTTTTAAATAATTAAATTCTTTTGACGAATATTCATAAAATTTTTAAGAATAATTACATTTCTCGAGGAATTCAATTCAAATTGTATTAAAAAATAATTGAAATTCTGTGATAAGTTTTATTTTTTATGAAAATAATTGAATTCATAAAAATAATTTTACTATTTAATTAAAATAATTGAATCCCTGTAAGAAATTTTATTATTTATGAAAATAATTGAATTATTGCTAAAAAATTTGTAAATAATTGAATTTTTGTGGAATTTTTATTATTTATGAAAATAATTAAATGTTTCCATAAAATTTTATCAAAATTTTTTTTAAATAATTGAATTCTTTTGAAAAATTTTATTAAAATAGATATTGAAAATCGTTAAATTGAGAAAATTTTTTTAAATAATTGAAATTTTGACAAGAATTTTATTAAAAGTTTTGAAAATAATTGAATATTGGAGAAGAATTTTGTTATTTATAAAGATAATTTAATTTTTGACGAAAATTTAAAATATTTATCTGAACTTAATTGAATTTTCGCGAAGAATTTTATTACTTTCGAAAATAATTGAATTTCTGCAATTGTAACTTATTCAAAATTATTTTCATCATTTCAATTCAATTAGGTATTATTTTCTAGAAATTTCAACTAAAATTCTTCTTTAAATCAAAAATTTTTAATAATTTTTGTTTTTTTAAACTTTTTCAAAAGAATTAATTCTACAGAATTTTTAATTAAAAGTATGAAAAATTCAGTCTTTCAAAAATTTTAATTTGAAAACTTTTCAAAATTCAATTATTATCTAATAATTTAACTGAAATTAATGTTTAAATCAATTTTTATTAGAAAATTCTACGAGAATTCAGTTATTTAAATACAAAAATAAATAATTTATTGAATAGTTGAATAAATGATTCTTAAAATTGAATTTTTATAAAGAATGGTATTAACAAATTTTAAAATAATTGAATTCTTTCGACGAATTTTAATAGAATTTTTAAGAACAATCGAATTTCTGTGAATAATTTTATTACTTTAAAAAATAATTGAATTCTTGTGATGAATATTTTTATTTATGAAGATATTTGAATTTCCCGATGAATTTTATTCAAATTCCAGAAAATAATTGAATTTCTGGGAGGAATTTTCATATTCATCAATATAATTAAAATTTTTTAAAGAATTGCCTTTAAATTTTTGAAATAATATTAAATATATTTTCAAAATATCAATTAATTTTAACAGAATTGAAATTAAAATTTTTCAAAAAAATTACTTCATTAAATAATTAATAAGTAATAATTTTGTGATAGTTCTTGACGAATTAAGTTATTTAAAAGAAATTATTGTCAGAAATGGAAAAAATTGAAGGTTTTTCTATAGATTCCGTGATAATTATTCATATAGTTTATGAGGCAAACGAAAAAGACACCAAAATTCAAAATTTTCTTATGAATTCTAAAAATTTAATTTTTTCCAGTACTTTTAATAAAAATTCCTGACTTTTTCCAGATTTCCCTGACAAATTCTACTTTCCCTGATTTTTTTCTGAATTCCCTGACCTGTGGCAACCCTGAATCAGCTTTCCTGCACCAAAAAAATTTAGAATTATCAACTAAATTCGCAAATATGAATTTTATTTTCTCAGGATTACCAGAAGCGCGCTCCCTCTATCTAGACACTGAATTCGAGAATTCAAAAATCGAATACGAGCGAGAGGAGAATGAGGACGTGGGTGAGCATAATCAAACGGAACCCGAGAGTGCGCCATCATTTAATAAAAATGAGGAAATGCAGGATTTAATTGTTAAACCAACGGGAAGTACACTGAGACTGAGATGTCCAGCTGTTGGCAATCCTCGGCCAAATATCACGTGGTGGAGGAATAATGACGAGCCGACAAAACCTCTAGGAGTTATTAGAAACAGATGGACTCTCAAGTTAGAGAATATTGCCCTGCAAGACGCTGGAAACTATACCTGCCAAGTCTGCAACAGTTTTGGATGCATCAATCACGTCTTCAAAGTCGACATTATTGGTGAGAAAACATTTCTTGAGAACTTCAAAATGCTTCTGAAAACCGTATGTTTCACTTGGAACAATTGCTAACTCTATTGCTTATTAAATAAAATTATTAACTCATTCTTGAAACCAAATCGAAAGGTCCCTGAAGTTGAAAATGTCACTTTAATTTTTCAGAACACTGTTTCAATAAGCGTTTATTTTGGCGCTAACTTTACAAACCTCAATCGAATCACCAGATAATTAATAATCCCATTTTCTTCACTGACAGTAAATAAATTTTGCAATCAATGAATTTTTACAGAAGCCATCGACAGTTTCTCGGAGTCGGATGCAGATAATGAAAAATTGGACAACGAAAAAGATGGTAGTCCGGGTGAGCATAATAAAACCTTACCGGAATGCCCGCCAATGTTCAATAAAAACGACGAAATGCATGCAACAGTTGTAAAACCGGCCGGAAGTATGTTGCGCCTTAGGTGCCCAGCTGTAGGCAATCCGCAACCAAATATCACTTGGCTAAAGAATAACGAGGAGCCCAAGAGGACTTTGGGAACGATAATAATGGTCAAGTGGAGTCTGAGACTCGAGGATGTTGTTATTCAAGACGGCGGAAATTATACCTGCATCGTTTGCAACAACCTCGGTTGCATCAATCACACTTTCAAAGTCGAAATCATTGGTGAGTCTCAATGCTCTTCAACTGCTTCTAAATTACAGCAATTATTAATTCATGATCTTCAAATTTTTTCAATTTTCTCCAAAGTGGTCCCTGCACTTTCTTTCTATTAAGATAATAACAAAAATTTTGAGTTAAACTCATTTTTAATGAACAAGACTTGTTTATTTAAACAGTTTGTTTCAATATTGAGACGAATGACTAAAACACAAATTTATTTCCTATTTACAATTTTTTACAATACAATTTTTCAAAATAAACTTCATTTGGCATTAAAATCATTTAATGTAATTTCAACTTGACCTGAAATTTGCAGGATATAAAATTAATTTGTCATAGAGATTACTTGGCATAAATTTAATTTGATATAAAAAGTACTTGATATAAAGTTTATTTGACATAAAAATCACTTGATGTAAACTGCATTCAACATAAAAGTCTTTTAACATAATTGTCGTTTGATATAAAAATTACTCGACATAAACCGTCCGTAAAAGTCAGTTATCTTGAAAAAAGGTCCGTAAAGTCCGTAATTTGATAGAAAAAGAACGAAAAGTTCGTAAATTGCACGATATAATTCAGAGAATTTTAGAGAAATTACAAATGATTGTAGAAATTCAATTATTTTCAAAAGTAATAAAATTTTTCGCAGAAATTAAAATTACGTTCAAATATTTTTAAAAATTCTCGTCAAAATTTCAATTATCTTTAGAAATAATAGAATTTTTCTCCGAAATTCAATTATTATCAAACATTTTCCAAAAGAATTCAATTATTTAAAAAAATTGATAAAATTCTACGCAAACATTTAATTTTTTTCATAATTTCAATTATTTGCAAATTTTTTTTATAAATTTCTTCGCAATAATTCAATTATTTTCATAAATAATAAAACTCATTTCAGAATTTCAATTATTTTTAATACAAATTTAATCAAATTCCTCAAAAAATGTAATTATTCTTAAAAATTTTATTAAAATTCTTTATGAGAATTGAATTTTAAGAAACACTATTATTTAATAAATTATTTATTTTTGTATTTAAATAATTGAATTTTAGTTGAATCTTCTAATTAAAATTGATTTCAAAATTAATTTCAGTTAAAAATTTTAGATAATAATTGAATATTAGAAGCCTTATAGCATAAATTTTTTAGAAATAATAGAATTTTAAAAAGGTTTCAAATTAAAATTTTTGAAAATCTGAATTTACGAATAATTGGAATTTTGTAAAATTAAATTGTAAATAAATGAATTTGAAAATACTCTAAGAACTTTTTCAAAAATTAATAAAAAAATTATGCATTTATAGAAGAATTTTAGTTGAAAACACGTAAAAAATAATTTTTAAATAACTTAATTCTTCAAGAACTAGGGGAGAGTGGGTCAAACCGGACCCCCTAACGGTTTTTTGACTCTTGTGACTAAACGAATCAACCGATTTCATTTTTCGATGGCTTGTTTGAAAGATCATTTAATTGCGCAACTTTTTCCCAGAGACACCTATACTTTATCTTTTATTGTTTAGTTGCTGTGTTAACTTTAAAAAATTTTGCAAACGGTCCGGTTTGTCCCACCCCCTGGGGTAAACCGGACCGTTTGGTTTTTTATTTATAATGTTGCATTTACATAATCTACAATAAGAAAAAACATAAAGAATCATGTAAACAATGGTTGTAGTAATGAAAATAATAATACGGGATTGAATTTTAATTAAATAAATATTTTTTTTAATAAAAAAATAAAAATGTTTGTCATTATCAGAGAAACAATATTAAAGGGTCCAATTCTCATTGGAAGACAATTATTTTTCATTGTAAGTAAATATTTTAATAAAAGAAACATTTTATTTAAAAATAATTTTTATGAAACATTAATTCAATGGAAATATCCTATGGCCGGTTTGCCCCACCGAAAACGGTCCAGTTATGAAAAATTTAATTTTTAATTTTAAGTCGGACTGGTTATATTTTTGTCATTAATTGGTCCGTAATTTTTCATTTTTGGTCCGTAGAGTCCGTATTTTTAAATACTTTAATTGGTTCGAACCTTGGAATTACGTTAAATGATTTTTTATGTTAAATAAATTTTACATTAAAGAATTTTATGTCAAATGAGATTCATTTCAATTCATGTCAAATTTGTGTTTTAATCACACATCATAAAATATTCAACAAGACTTGTTCATTATTCTGCAAATTTTGAGAAGTAATCAGAAAAAATAAATTTCCGTAATGTGAAAATAGAGCGATTTCCACACAAACCGTACATCAACGAGGATTTCCCTAAAAATGTGACTGCCTTGATTCATACGAATGTTACATTCAAATGTCCGATTGTATCGGACCTTGAACCGTATATGGAATGGAGAAGATTTCCAAATAAACCCAATGATCAAGAGAAAGCTCCAGAAGGGGAACGACTTGAGGTACATCCACTACTGAATTTGGTGGAGGTTCCTAAAATCCTGCTTTTTTTGTTTCTTTTTTTTCAAATCTAATAAATACCAAAGGGAATAATTCTAATCGTCAATGATATTCATCTTTTCAAAAAATCTATACTTTTCGTGATGGATTTCATTTTATCATTTCCACTGTATGTATAGAAACATTCAAAGGTTGTTGGTACTTAATTTTCCTCTCATTGAAAAAAACATTTACAGAGAATCCCTGCTGATGGCTCAAGAAACCCAAAAAAATCTTTATGTATAAAAATGTACAAATTTTTTACCTTCTATATATTAACTTGGAAATACTTCTATTCAGGAATCTAAAGTTTTCTACTTCTCTCATTATGGTGAAGGTTTTACTTGTATCAAAATCGATTTTGTACATGATCAGTTTTTCTAAGCAAAATTTGATAATCCTTTCTTTCTATAATGAGTCTTCCTTTTTCGGATATACTGTCAAAATTCATTGCAACGATTTTGATACAAACTACAATCTTTGAATAACTGTCGTGCGTCTAATTTTAACAAAACTTTAAAAAAAAAGTCTGTAAAAACAATGGTGGTTGGGCATCTCTCTTTTTCTGTAGAAACTGTGAAACATCGACCAATCCTGACTGTAGCGCCGGCAAATACAACTGTCTTAATTGGAGGCAACGCTACTATGAACTGTCAAGTACTTTCGGATGCTCATCGTCATCTCGAGTGGTATCACGGCTACCATACTGATCTTGAAAACATCATCAAAACCAACCAAAGCTTGCGGGTCGAGGTTAAGGTGGGCTTGCAGTTCTATCTGCATCTGCATGAAACTCGTGTTCTCTTTACAGCTTTTCATCTTGCTTCTATTAATATAATCCACTTACTAACCTTTTTCTTGCTGCACGATCCTTAGCTAACAAATACCATCAAGCTTAATCTGTAAATTTTTCCTTTTCTAAAGACTTACTCTCATCTTCCAAAAGATCCTTTTTTCTTTAAAAAATTCCCTTAATTGAATTTCAAAGTTGATGCGATTTTTCCATTGGAGAATTTTTAGAACACCTTTGAAAAAGAAACATCTTTAATGTTACTTGCAATGTTGCAACAAAAAAATAAATCACGATAATAAAAAAGGTAATCAACTTTGAGAATTTATTAGTTCTTTCTTTTAATAAAAAATCATTTGAAACAAGGGACTAAAATTCGCAACGTTTGAAACACGAATATAATAAAATAATAAAACGTATATTTACTTTGATTTTATTATTTGGAGCCTAACTGTACACATCAAAATTGAAGAATTCACTTAAGAAAAATTCTTTTTCAATTTCAGCCTCATAATGAAACATTTTTAAAGTAACAACTAGATGCCTCATTTTATTTGTTCCAAATAAACATTTTATTTTTGTCAAATAAAATGTTTTTATTTAAAACAAATTTATATTGTTTAGATTAGATTACTATAAGTAAAGTTTGTTTTACTTAATTAATATTTGTTTGATTTAGATAAACATTTGGTTCAGTTTAATAAATTTAGCGTTCGAAGAAAAAATTTAGTCATCTAAAACAAATCTTTTGTTGAACCAAATAAATATTTTGTTAACTGTTAAATAAATATTGTAAAATAAATATTAAATTGTTTTAAATAAATATATGGTTCAGTTTAATAAATTTAGCGTTCGAAAAAAAATTTAGTCATCTGAAACAAAGTTTTTGTTAAACCAAACAAATATTTTGTAAACTGTAAAGTAATGTATTTATATTTGGTTGATTTAATTAAAAATTGATTGTTCTTAACAAATTTTTCTCTGAGTGTTCAACCGAAGTAAATTTTAATAAAATCTTAAAACGTAGCAAAATTTACTCCGGATATAGTAAAAGTTTCACTTTTTAAATAATTATAGTTACCCTTTATTTTTTCCTTGTAGTAATTTATTCCCAATTTGTAATTATTAACCATCTGAAATGAAATAATACATATAGTTTATAAATAAAAAGAAATAATTTTTATTATAAATATGCGCATGTGTTATTTTAAATGAACCAATCAATACCAAATGGCACTCAATAAGCAGTAAATAAGAAACTTGGTACTGATTTTCAATTTTACTAACAAAAAATCTGATATTTGAATTTTTGTTATCAAAGAATTCCGAGTTTTAAGATTATTTTTAACTCAACAAAATCTAATTATTTAATTTCTTATGACAAAAAATTCTGATTGGAACATTTTTTTGGCCCAAACAATCCGATAATTGAATTTTTTGTGACAAACAATTCGACAATTGAATTTCTTGGACTAAAAATCCGATAATTCAATTTTTTGTGACAAACAATTCGACAATTAAATTTCTTGGGACTAAAAATCCGATAATTGAATTTTTTGGGACAAACAATCCGATAATTAAATTTCTTGGGATTAAAAATCCGATAATTGAATTTTTTCCAACAAAAAAAAAAAAACGATAATTGAATTTGAGTCTAAACATAAAAATTATTTATAGAATGGAATGGACCACAATCCAGAAGTTTTGACTCTCATCAACGTGACCGAGAAGGACGAGGGTTGGTACACTTGCATTGCACAAAACACGCTCGGCGAAACTTTTAGCAGCGCCTATCTCCGAGTTGTCGACTGTACGTATATTTCAACTCAAGTATTTTCAATAAAAATCTCTGTCATTTTAGACAAAATTAATTACTATTAGATTAGAATTTACTTGTAAATTTTCGAACAAATGCAGTAATTAGAAGAAGTCTGTAAGAAAGAAAAAGCACTAAATGTCAAAGAAATCTAAACAATGTATCGTTTCTGATTATATAGCTTTGGAGGAAGAAATACGAGTTCCCTTGACCGCAAGATCACAATCGTTGCTGGTAAATGTTCTTGCCGCAGTGCTCATTGTATTCTTTGCATTTGGAGGTATTGTGGTTGGCTACATTTACCACAGACTCAAGAGGGAGAAAATGAAAAAATTACTGGCAATCGAGACAGCGAGAGCTGCCGTTGTTACACAATGGACGAAAAAAGTGATCGTTGAGAAGCAAAATCTCGTTAATGCTCAGAACGTTCAGGAACCACTTTTAATGCCCGTTGTTAAAATCGAAAAACAAAAATCAACCGTAACAACCGAGGACAGTAATGGTGGAAGTATCTCCGAATATGAACTTCCACTCGACAGCGCTTGGGAATTGCCACGAGAGCATTTGGCACTCGGCAATACTCTCGGTGAAGGTGCTTTCGGCAAAGTCGTCAGGGCTCAAACAAATACCGGAAAACCCGGAATTCCCAGCATTGTGGCTGTTAAAATGCTCAAAGGTAATATATTCTATTCTGCACTCTGCCAATAATTTAGTAATTCTCTGTTAACACATTTACTAGTCATTTAATCCCAAGAGACCGATTTTTTGGCTCAAATTTAAGCTTGGTACTGCAGCCAGAGAAAAATTTTATTTCAACCAAATAGAATTTATTTTGACTTAAATAAAAGTACCTATATTTGTCTCAGAGCCTGCTAAATTAATTATTTGAACTAAATGCAATTTACTTGAAACAAAATAAAAAGTTTAGTAGGCTCTGAGTCAAATATATTTTTTTCCGGTCGTGTTTTGTGTCCTCTTTCAGAATCTACAAGAAAATAATTGAATCCCTATAAAAAATGTTATTATTTACATTATTATTTATGAAAATATTCAAATGCTTGTGTAGAATATTATCAAAAATTGTTTTAAGTAATTGAATTCATTTGGAAAATTTTATTATTCAAATTTTTGAAAATAATTGAATTTCGGACAAGAATTTTGTTATTTATAAAGATAATTGAATTTTTGACGAGAATTTAAAAAATTTATTTGAACTTAATTGAATTTTCACGAATAATTTCATTACTTTTGAAAATAATTGAATTTCTGCAATTGTAACTTATTCAAAAATATTTTCATCATTTAATTTCAATTATTATTTTCTAGAATTTTCACCTAAAATTCTTTGTTAAATCAATTATTTTTAATAATTTTTATTTTTTTTAAAACTTTTTCAAAAGAATTAATTCTACAAATTTTTTATTTAAAAGTATAAAAAATTCAGTCTTTTAAAGATTTTAATTTGAAACCTTTTCAAAGTTCAATTATTGCTAAAAATTGTAATTATTTTTTATTTTTCCAAAATTCAATTATTATCTAATAATATAATTTAACTGAAATTAATGTTTAAATCAATTTTTATTAGTGAATTCTACAAGAATTTAATTATTTAAACACAAAAATAAATAATTTATTAAATAACTGAATGAATGATTCTTAAAACTGAATTCTTATAAAAAATGTTATTAACAAATTTTAAAATAATTGAATTCTTTCGACGAATTTTAATAGAATTTTTAAGAATAATTGAATTTCTGTAAATAATTTTATTACTTTTGAAAATAATAGAATTCTTGTGATTGATATTATTTATAAAGATATTTTGAATTTTCCGATGAATTTTATTAAAATTCCTGAAAATAATTAAATTTCTGGGAGATTTTTGATATTTATCAATATAATTGAATTTTTCCAAAGAATTGCCTTTAAATTTTTGAAATAATATTAAATATATTTTAAAAAATTCAACTAATTTCAATAGAATTGAAATAAAAATTTTTCAAAAAAATTACTTCAATAATAATAAATAAATAATAATTTTATTATAGTCCTTGAAGAATTAAATTATTTAAAAGAAACTATTGTCAGAAATGGAAAAAATTGAAGGTTTTTCTATAGAATCCGTGGCAATTTCATAGTTTATGAGGCAAACGAAAAAGACACCATTCAGAATTTTCTTATGAATTGCTAAAAATTAAATATTTTTCCAGTACTTTTAATAAAAATCCCTGACTTTTCCCTGACCTGTGGCAACCCTGTTTATGCAAAAAAAAATCTTGCAGATTCTGAGAGAGGACACAAAAATTTATAAGAAACATTCAGTTCTAATTTTAAAAAAAAATATCCTCTCGTTAAACGGAAAGTTGTTAAATTTAGGACATAAAAAGGACTTTTGGATCTAAGAGGATTAGAACCAAATTAATTGAAACGAAATTCATTAAAACAAAATTTCTTTTTCACAGAGGGTCATACAGATTCAGAAATGATGGACCTAGTATCCGAGATGGAAATGATGAAAATGATCGGCAAACACGTGAACATAATAAACCTCCTGGGAGCATGTACTCAAGGAGGACCACTTTACGTTGTCGTTGAATTTGCACCGCATGGAAATCTTCGAGACTTCCTGCGCGATCACCGACCGTCGTCAGGCTACGAGCTCACGATAAGTGATGACCAAAAAGAAAAGAAGACATTAACGCAAAAGGATTTGGTATCATTCGCCTATCAAGTGGCGCGTGGAATGGAGTACCTGGCGAGTCGGAGGTGTATACACAGAGATTTGGCAGCGAGAAATGTTCTTGTCAGTGAGGAATATGTCTTAAAGATCGCTGACTTTGGTCTCGCGCGAGATATTCATTGTCACGACTACTATCGAAAGACGACGGATGGCAGGTTGCCAGTCAAATGGATGGCACCAGAAGCTCTCTTTCATCGAATCTATACCACACAGTCCGACGTGTAAGTACACAAATTATTCAGAATTAGATCTGACGCTTCCACTCATATTCTCACACACACACACACACAGACACATTCTTTTATTTTCAAATACTAAAGAAAATAGACTTTTGCAATAAATCATCTTCAGTTAAGAGACATGTTGCCTGGCGCAATAAAATAAGAGTTCAAAGGGGGAATTTATTTCTTCCAAGAAGTAAATAAGGAAGAAAATAAATTAAAAGTAACTCAATAAAGTCATTCAAAGTGTCATGTATTTACAATTAATAGAGAATTATTTGATTTATACTTAGAGACACAACATTTATTTTAATAATTTTTCTTTACAGCTGGTCGTACGGAATTCTGTTGTGGGAAATAATGACACTTGGAGGTACGCCCTATCCCTCAGTACCGTCAGTAGAAAAGTTGTTCCAATTATTGAGGACGGGTCACCGAATGGAGAAGCCACCCTGTTGTTCGATCGAAATGTAAGATTCTGAATTTATTTTTCCTTCACATTCACAATGTACACACAAACCTGATCTGCATAAATTCGTTCTAATCAGCATCAAGATCATTTTAACGATTCTACTTACTTTACTTACTTCACTCTACGTTTATTTTTTTAGTTCTATTTTTTTATTTTTTTTTCCTTTATTTTCCTTAAGGGTATTTGAACCATTATTACGTCACAGTTTGAGAACACATGCTTTACACAAACTGTGACGTATGGTTCAAATGATCTTAAGAGAAAAACAAAGTCCTTTAAGTTCATTTACTCGATTTTAGACTTAGTAGAACAATCATCTTCTCTTGATATTTAACTTCTTTATTCAACAATAAATTTTTTTTTGTAATTAATAATAAAATCAAAAATATAATACAATACAATTAACTCTTATAATATAGCTCAAAATCAAATTTTTTTCTAGATACATGCTCATGAGGGACTGTTGGAGTTACCAACCAAACGAGAGACCAATGTTTGGAGAATTGGTTGAAGATCTCGATAGGATATTAACCATAACTACAAACGAGGTAATTATAAACATGAAGTTTATTTACAACAAGATTTTACAAGTTTGTCAAATTTTTATTTAACCGCAAATAGCGACTAAACCTAAATTCTATATGTTTATTAAGTATTCAAATTAAACTTTAGAATTAACATTCAATAAAATTAACCAATATTCTGAAACGCATGAAAATTTCCAACATTTTACTTATAAATAATTTTTGTGGCGCCTAATTCCAAATTATCGAATAATCGAATTTTATTACAAAATATTGCACTGAGAAAACGATTTATTTGATTCAAGCAAATTTTGTTTAAATCAAACTTAAAATATCTTTGCTATACAGTCAATCATATTTAAGTTTTATTGAAACATATTTTTTGGTTCATTTAAAGAATTAATATATTTAATTCAAACATAAGTTAAATACTAAGTTATGGTTGATTTTAAATTATTTATAATCAACTTTTAAGTTTGAATCAAACATAAAGTTTTTAAATATAATTTTTGTTTCAATCCACACAAAAATATATTTAAATTAAACATAATTATTCAAACAAATAATATTTTTGAATCAAAGCAGTAGATTTTTTCTATAATATATTGAGATTAAGCTTACAAACTAATTTTAATTAAGCAAAATGACTTAAAATTATTTTTCTATTTGAATTAAGTATACTGTTAAAAAAAATTGTAAATTTACAATACTTTAATACAAAAAGTGATTGAAAATTTACAAATTTTGTATATGAAATAATTTCAAAAACGCGTGTTTGAAAGATTTGTAAATTTACAATATTTTCAAACAGAAGTGTTTGAAATTTTCAAAAATTTTTGTATGGATTAACTTCAAATACATATGTTTGAAAGATTTGTAAATTTACAATATTTTCAAACAAAAGTGTTTGAAATTTTCAAAAATTTTTGTATGGATTAACTTCAAATACATATGTTTGAAAAATTTGTAAATTTACAATATTTTCAAACAAAAGTGTTTGAAATTTTCAAAAATTTTGTATGGATTAACTTCAAATACATAAGTTTGAAAAATATATGTAAATTTACTACCTTTTCATAAAAAAGTGTTTGAAAAATTTATGTGTAAAATAATTCAATACACATATGTTTTAAAATATTGAAAGTAAATTTACAACTTTTTCATTGAAAAGTACTTAATTAAAATTTTTTTGAGTTTTTATACGAAATTGCTTAAAACATATGTGTTTAATAATTCTCTAAATTAGTTTAAAACATTATTTATAAGTAAATACATTTTCAAATGTTGAAATAACTAAAATTTTTTTTAATCAGTTTAATTAGTTTAATTTGCCAAAACTTGTTAAGAGAATAAAACATTTTGGATGATATAATATAATTAATTAATATAGTTAGATATTTTGTACAGATTAAAATTTAAAAACTGATAAATTAAATAGAAAAATATTTTTCCATAAAAAATCTGCTGTTCATAAAGTATTGTTTAAATATTTCTGAAACATCTTAATACATATCATAAATTTAACAGAAACGTGAAGAGAAAAAAAGTAAAGAATACAAGAATCGGTTGGTGAAGAATTTTAAAGATATTGAATCTTTAGAAATTTAGAAGAAGTCAAAAAAAGGGAATGGTCCACATGTTTCTCACTACTGATACTTTGCAAGAGATTTTCATAGCCTCCCTTGGTCGAGCGCGTCTAGGCGCAGCTCCCAAGGTTGATGGCTCCATACAAGACACACTATACACAGACAACACTATATACGACTAAGGGTTCAAATCGTAGTGTCGAATTTCCGTAAAAATGCCAATAAAACTTTTTTTTTAATTAATTTACATTTATTGTAACATATCAAAACACAATATAAACAGTTTAGATTTTTCATTTAAATATTTAAATCGTTTTGGTATTTCAAACAGATTTGTTTGAAATTTCAAACAAAACTGTTTGAAGTTTCAAACAAAACTATTTGAAATTTCATTCAAACACTTTGTATTAATTTTCCAAAGAATAATTTGAAAATTTTAAAGAAATGTGTTTTAAAATTTAATAAGAAAATTTGTATTAAATTTAAAAATGTGTGTTGTAGTTTTTCAAAATTGTATATGATAATTGCTTCAAACATTTTTGTATAAAATTTGGAACAAAAATTTTTAACAGTGTATAATGTTTTCTCAGTGTGGTTTTCATATTTAAAAAACTAAGTTTTAACCAAGGAATATATTATATTTCGAATATTCGATCTTTTAAACATTCAAAACTTTAGAGAACTAATTTTTTACCGAAATTTTACAATGCATAATCTGTATTTAAGCAAAGTTTTATTTAACTAAATTTCTACTTAACAGAACATCTGAAAAAATTAATATATATTTTAAATAAAATTACACTTGTCAGAATTCTCATTTAACAGAATTTTGAATGAGCCGAATTTTTATGTCAGAATTTCCTTTTTCTCTGAATATTCTCATTTGCTCAAATTTTTCATTCACAAATTGTCATTTAGTAGAATAATTCTTAAAACAAAGAAACATTCAAATACTACTTTTAAATTTGAACATTTATAAAATTTTAAGAAAATTATGATTAATTTTTGAATTTACACCGAATTTTCCAACTGCTATTTATTTGTCCATTTAAAAAATTCCTGAAAATATATAATAAGAAATATTATTTTTCTGTGTAATAAAAAGTCAACCATTTAAAAATCCGGCTGAGAAAAAATTGTATCATTATTTATTTTATAATTTTTTGTATTATTTATTATATTATTTATTTTATTAAATAAAAAAAATTACAATTTTTCTGAATTAATTTGTTTAAATAAAAATTTTATCGATAATAATTTATAGTTAAGTAGAAGTTTTGTAAAAAATAAAAATTAGCTTCCACAAAAATTTTAAATTGTAAAATTTCGGTAAACCAATTAATTCTACTTTACAAACATCAACAATTAAATAGAAATTTGATAATTCTGAATTATAGGCAATAAAAAAATTATTAAATTAAATAAACAATACCACGTGAAACGATTGAATAAAAATTGTAATTTTTTGGGATCGGCTTGAAACTCTGCCTTTAGAATTAAACCAAACTCTAAATTTGTGCAATAAAATCCTAAAATATAAACTTTTTTAAAAATTAGTTGTGAATCACTTTTATATTTAAATATTTTTTAGGAAAATATCTCAGCCTTTTAAAAAAAAATGTTTAAAAAATGAAAAAGGGTAATTTTTGTTAAAATTCAAAAATTAGATTTATTTTTAAAAGAAGAAGAGTGTGAACCCTTTTTGGAGAAAGATTTTTGGATTTGAAAAGTACACAAAAAATGCTTTAAAATTTATTAAATAAAAATTAAAATTCTTTAATTTTTGTAGAAGTTAAACCAATGTGAATATAACAATGTCCATTAACATAATATAATTGTTCCGATTAGATCAGTTCACGTAGAATTGTTCAAATCAAATAAGAAAAATATTCATTCTGTCCCCAATTTTCTGCTAAATTCAATGTCATTTCGCACTGTCAATTTGATTCTAACTATTAAAATTAAATACTAAATTAATAGATATTAAATATTAAATTTTTCTTTATTTTAAATATTTAGTATTAAACAAGACTCTAAATTTGTGTTTCAGGAATACCTCGACCTGGGACTTCCACAACTCGACACACCACCATCAAGTCAAGAATCAAGCGAAGCTGATGATGATGACGACGATGACGATGGCCAAGAAACATTTTCCTACTTGTTGTGAGAATTATAAAAGTCGAATTGTGAAAATATTCTAAAAAACGTTAAAATCTAAAAACCTTCATTATCCCAACGAGAGAAAAAACTGAAAAGGATGAAACTATCGAACAAAAAAAGAAGGAAAATCAATTAGCCATCCAACTATCAATTCTGATAAGTTAGGACAATTAATGCTAATTAATTAATCGACTGACATAATGAACACGCCAAATAATACAAATCAGTATTGTCCATTAGCGCGTACTTTATAATAAATTTAAGAGCATTATGCGAATAGGAGAAAAAATAATATTGTACTATTAGGAACAAAAAGAACAAATTTTTTTCCAACAATAATGAAAAATTTTGTAAATTTTTTACTTAAAAAAAATATTGTGCCATGACAAAGTGCCTTTTTAAATACAAAAAAGGCAATTTTTTCGTAAAAATTAAAATTTTGTAAACATTTTTGTAAAATTAAATTAACTATTTTTCTATTTAATGTTTTTTGGTAAACATTTTAATTTTCTCAAAAGAAAGAAAACAAAATTTGGAGTGGAATACAATTTTATATAAATCGCAGTTACCATTCCTTTACCTCGTGTATTATCGAAATTATTAATATTGTAAATTTATTATTGTAAATTTGAAAAATCATATGACAATGAAATACTGCGTTTCCACCTAGTCAATTTATACTCAAGATTTTTGTACATTGATAGATTATAATATGTCTATATTAGAAAATAGAAATGTGAGAGTTCTACCGTGAGTAGATATAGTTGTTTATTGTTAATTTTTCTGTATTGTTTCCGTTGTTGTGAAAATTATAAAAAAGGTGATGTAATTAGAAAAGCGATTGTTAAAGATAGGTACTTCAGTATAAGGAATTTGTAAATATCCCGTCCTAAGAATGGAAATAAATTGCTTCGAGACAGCAAAACTTGGCCAAAAAGTTTACGGAAACGTATTCAGTCTGTCTAACAGTGAATCAAATTCAAAAATCATATTTAATATGACATTCAAAATTTATTTATTATTTTATGCATAATTTTTCAGTCAAAAATTTTTATATTTTTTCTAAATTAAATTATTTAATATATGTCTCTAAAGATACGAACGTTCAAATGAACGATTATTTTTTTAGTATTTTCAAATTAAAAATCAAATCTGAATTTCGATAGAAAAAATTTTCTTTGTTAGTTTAAAAAATTAATTCCTCTCTATAAAATTATAAATATTTATTTCATTTTTCATTTTTTTCTAGTAATTTTAAAAACTATTTAAATAGAAAGAAATATTCGTTCATTTGAAAGTTCAAAACTTTAGGAAAATTTTAATATCGAATATTTTAAGTATTAGAACTTTCATAAAACTTAGTATTTTGATAATAAACTAAAATTTATTTTTATATAAAATTCAAATTTCTACAAAAAAAAAAAGAAAAAGAAAATAAAATGAAAAAATTTTCCACTGTTAAACCGACTATTAAATAACCGCATGTAAAACTTATGTGTAAGAATTTTATTTAAAAGAAAAATGTATAAATAGATTTGTAAGCAAAACGTTTAGAGGTAGATATTTATTCTGTGTAAAATAATTATTGATTATTTGTATTTTGAAAACCTTTTTTTACCCATAATTTAAGATTATTGTTGAATTATTGACGATTACAAAGAGCTAATATCTTATTTCGACAAACATATTCTCTTTAACAAAGAAATAAAAGTTTTGTATAAAAGTTTATTCCAATTGTATTATTATACGTATTTGACGGAAAGAGAAAAATTAAGGCTAGTTTAAACAACATTGTAAATAGTAATAATAGTAATAATAATAATATTTTGTGCATTATTTAAAAAGCTATCAAGGAGTAATCAACATTCAAAATGTAGCCAGTAAACCAGCATTTATATATATAATATGTAAAAAGGAATATTGTCCATGAAAAATAATTGTAACCCAAGTTCAAACTCCAATAAACCAAATTTATATACTCAATTTGTGTATAGTATTTTAACCCATCCTTAAAAAAAAGAAAGTGGAAAAATTTTATTTCCACGGATTTAAAATTTTAATGAAAATAATAAATTATAATGTTCAGTGAAACAAGTAAAAAGCAATATTAAAAACAAATTCATAAATTAATGATTAATCAAGTAAAATTTGCAACAACATAGTGATGACCTAAAGATAAGTAAAGCTAATATAATAAAATATTTTTCCACTTATGTTAGTGTCAGGTTTTAATGCCGCAAATAAAATGCCTGCACGCAATTATTTTTCAATTTTCATGCATCTGAAATTTTCACTTAAATTTCCTTTAAATTCAATTGTGCTCAATTAAATATTAAGAAATTTCAATAATTCAGAAGTTTTTAAATTAAATAACGTATATATAATATTCAAACATTCAACTAATTTTAATAAAAATTTCAACTAAAATATTCAAAAAACTAATTTTTTTCAGAATTTTTAATTAAAGTTACTCAAAAGTCAAATTTTTAAAAATTTTAATTTGAAATCTTTTGAAATTTAATTATTTCTAACATTTTTTTTACTATAACTATTACAATATTCAATTGTTTTCAAGAATTTTTATTAGAATTCTAGAGAGTTCGTTTATAAATACAAAATTTCAGCCCTCTAAGTCAAAATGGCGGAGTTTGAAAGGGGAGTAGTAGTACACTGTATTAGTACACTGAAAAAGAAATTTATTTGATTCAAATAACCGATTAATTGTCTATTATCAATTAAATATTTAATTGAATAAAATAATATTTATTGGAGTCAATTAAATGGTATTTGCTTCAAATACTGAAATTATTGGTTCAAATACAATTTAATAGACTCCAATAAATAATATTTGATTAAAGTAAATATTTAATTGATAATATAATAGTCAATTCATCGGTTATTTGTATCAATTACATTTTTTTAGTGTGAAATTCAAAAATAATACATATTTTATAAATGTTATCACTACGTTGTTACACTTCCTTTCCTGTTTGAACATTATGTTAATCTTTTACCCCTTTCACTTAAAAAAATATGATGTAATAAATTATTATTCTTTTAAAGATAGAATTTTGACAAAATATTCAAAAATTTATAGGTTTTAAGAATAATATTTAAAAAGATTTTAATTTATTACACTAGGTGTGACAGTGAAAAAAACTTTAAATCGGATCTATCCTAACTTGTTCGTCTTTAAAAACTAAAAATAAAATGGAATGCATTCAATCACTGAAATACCCCCAAAATTTTATTTTAGAGCTAAAAAAACTTTTTTTTGACGTTAATGTATAAAATAGCTTTTAACTTTGTCATTTTTGGTCGAAACTCAATGATTTTTTTATTATTATAATTTTTCAACTTCAAATTCAATTATCGGCCCTAATTTCAGAAGAAATATTTTTTTCTGATAATGGTTTTAAAGAGTATTTGATTCTGCATCGAATGAGATTTTTTTAACAGGATTCGTTAAAAATTAGTCGAGTATAATTATAGTTTTTGTTGTGATGGTCAAAAAAACTAGGGTCAAAAAAACCCTTTTCTTTATCAGTAAAATAAAAAAAATTTATTGAGTTTGAACCAAAAATGACAAAGTTACAAGCTATTTTATGCATTAACGTCAAAAAACGGTTTTTTAGCTCTAAAATAAAATTTTGGGGGTATTTCAGTGATTGAATGCATTCCATTTTATTTTTAGTTTTTAAAGACGAACAAGTTAGGAAAAGTTCGATTTAAAGTTTTTTTACTTTTTTATTTTTTGTAACACTATTTTGTGAAGAAAGGAGTCATGAACTGGCTCAAACAAGAAAGGGAATAAAAATAGTGAATAAATAAACAGACTCACTGGTCGTTGGGCGATGGTTCCGGTATCATCGCACTTCCTCCAGAAGAATGGACCACTCACGAAGATTCTTGGCAGTTGAAAAAGTACATCACTTTAAATGTACGTAAATTTCCAGAGAGATCACTTCACTTCTACATTCTTCCAGTTCTGTAGACTGTTCAATGGGAATGATGAAAGCAATCTGAAAGAATAAAGGAATCACAAAAGTAAATAGTTTAAAAATTATAATTTGACTCCATAATAAAAATAATTAAAAATGAAATTAAAATGACTCCATAATATTGAAGACAAGAGAAACTTACTAATCCCAAATTACCTACGTCGACGAGAAATGGTGTTGCTTCTCTTCTCGACATCTTTTTCATTTGCTATGAAGATGAAGTAGTAAAGACACCGTACAGTCAGCCGCTTTTCATTTTCAGCAGACTCGATCATTTATCCTTGGAATCATTTTGAATTTTGTACTTTTTATGTAGGTAGAACATCGCCACAATTTAAGGATAAGTTTACTGCAAAAAATTTACACATTTATAAATTTTTATTGAAACCTAATTGAGTCTTCATACAATTGTTTATAAACTTTTAAACAATCAACTCAATGCAGCATTAAAATATAGTTTTGACATTAAAAATAACAAATGTAGGACTTCTACAAACCACAAAAAACTCTACACTATTAAAAATAACGTTCCTAATATCAAAACAATTATTAAACTTTTCGTAAACGAAAAAATAATTAAAATCTAAAACCAAAAAAATGTTGATTTTAAAACAAACAAAAAAATACACATACGTAGTAAAAAAAGTTTTAACTTCAGACTATTTTTTAGGCTGAATCTAAGGTGTAAAAAAGGCTTACCCAGGCGCGAGCTGACAGTGAGTTCAGGCTTTACGAAGCTTGATTGAGACTTGGTCAGTATTGGTTGAAGATTGGTGGGACAGCGAAAGCAAGGCTACTTGAGTCCGGAATAGTAACATCGATGTAAACCTGACGCTCAGTCTTTGTTGAAGACTGGCGTTCAATCTTCAATCAATGCTGCGGAAACCGAAAGCAGGACTGAACAAGACTGCTTCCACTGTTACCAAATTTACACGCTTCTCACGCGTTCATTCAATATAACGTGAATATATTAATTATTATTATTAATAATAAACAGTATTGTTATTAATATATATGTATTTACATATTTAATGACAATAAGTTATTATTATAATAATTATATTATTTTCATATAAATATTATATGACTAACAATAAATGTCATTTAACATAATAATATTGAAAAATAATTTTAGCAAAAAAAAAACACAATTTGTGATAATTTGTACATTTTTTAACTTCATATTTGACAGACTTTTAATATTATTTACAAACAAGTTCACAAGTTTTTATTCACAACACTTATTAATTATACAGATTAAATAGTAATTTTATTATTTTATGTAACCGCTTATAATGAAAAAATCCGCTCGCATGTGGGATCGAACTCACGTCCCCCCGCCCCAAACGCATTCCGGAAGTCCTAGACGCAACCACTTAAGGGCATCCGGGAAAAATTGAGCCCAAAAAGTGTTTTCCCGCGTGTCGTCTCACTCCTAAATAATTAGAGATATTTAGTTCGGATTTATCATGATAATTAGGGGAATTCATGGTGATAAAGAATATTCTCGAAAATTGCAAGTAATTTTTGAAATAAATATTGAAAAACGAAATTACAAAAGTTGGATTTTGGGCGAAAGAGAGAGACAATATGGCGGCGAGACACAGACAAGTGGATCTATGTGTCAGTGGTCAAGGAGGTGGCGCCAATTCTCGGAAGTGGTCGCGACTCGAACTGAGGAAATGTATTAATCTCAAAATACTCCACTTTCAATCGTTAATAAAATAATTTCCTCGCAAAATTATTGCAAAAACGGAGAGGGCCGCTTCTCGGAGAGTCTTCCTCTATCACCCCTCCAAATATGAACCCGAAATATTTTATCCTCTCAAAATGAGACGTCTATACTGAACCGTGAAAAACCCCCTTTTTCCGTATATTTAAACAATTTTTTTCAATAATTATTTATCAAAATTTCTCTAAAATCCGAGAGAACCGCTGGTCCCAGAGCATTTCTCTATATTTACCAAAAAATCCCGACTCAAAATATTCTTTTCTTTTTAAATGAGATGTCTATCACGAAACCAGTATTATTTCCCGGATGCCCTTAATCCGCACGGCCACTGAGTCTCGATGAGACCTCGGGCTAATGTAATATATTAATGCCAGTGCCGTATACTTTGTTACTTATAAGGGCAAAGTGAAAACTATGACTAAAAATTTTACACATACTAATCCTGAATTATTTTAATTATTAAAAATGAATATTAAATAATTCATAATAAAATTGTAAAAATTACAAAATTCAACTTTTAAAACATTTTACAATTAAAAATATTTAATGGATAATTTAATAAACATCGATAAATAATTGATATTTTTTATTATTCAGTAACAAAATTATTAACATTTATTATTAGATATATTAATAATATATTATGTAAATAAATATAATTTGGAATAATAATGAATTATAATGTTAAATATTATAATTATTATTAATTATAATAATATTTATTAATTCAATAATAATTATTAAAATTATAATAATTAATAAATAAATAAATAATAATTAATTAAATTAATATTAAAAGTTAACATAATTAATAAAATGATTAAATATGATGCAGTGTCAGGAATATTTATTGCACATTTTAATTATTATTTATTAATTATCTATAATAATTTTGAAAACATTTATAAAAAAAAATTTTCCATTTAACTTTCTTTAAATATGAATGTTACAATTAATAATATATTTATTTATCAATTGATAACTTAATGTTAATTATTATTATTATTATTTGAAACAATTATTATAATTATAATTATTATAATATTATTTAATTAAGTGAACACGGTAATAAATAAAGATAAACTGAATATTGAGTAAAGATTGATTCAAGCTTGAATCAAGATTAGATGTTCGAGCTTCACTCATAAAGACTGACCGAGTCTTGAATCGAGCATGGGACGAGCATTGGGTCCAATGTTGAACCAATATTGAACTAATATTGATTGACAGTGATGTAAAGACTGCTTCTACTGTGAGTTACCCACACTGAGCGTTCAAGACTCAATCAACCTTTAATCTATCGTCAGCATTGGTCTTTCGCGCCTGGGTAAGACTTTATGTGCAACTTAATTTATATTATACAAATATAATTATGTACATATATTTATTTTTGTATATAATTATTTTTATAATTAATTTAACTAATCAATAATTACAAAAAGTAATAAACAAAAAAATTGTTTTTGTAAATGACAATTAAATATTTTTAATTTTTGGTCAATTATGCAATAAAACAAAAATTAGTATTATTCAAAAAGAGTAAGAAGCATAAGTCCTATGGGTAAATTTATTGATTTTCTCTGCAAAATTCCACAGGATCATCTGTGTAAATTCCTACGGCACGTTGTCATGGAATCAAATCAACAAATCAAAGTTGTATTTACATTCTAATACTCTGAAGTGATAAAATTTCTGATAATTTCTTTTTAATGAAAAGAAGCTAAATGGTTATGTATTTTGTGTCAGAAAGTCAATGTTTTGTATAAATATAAAACTTAGTCATCGTAAATTAATTAAAAATATTAAAATTATTTTAACTCTAGTTTCTCAAAAGTGTAATAGTATTTATATTCACTTTAATTTTGAATATTGAAAACTAAAGTGTTTTACAATTGAGGAGAAAGTAGATTTTTAAAATAAGAATTTTAAAGGAGCAAAAAAAATTTAATATCAACCATGATGGATATGGAAATGAACGCTGAGATGGAGAGGGTATGTATATAAAAAGTACTTTTAGCAAGCAATATATAATTATACAAAAAGAAGAAGAATTAGGTTAAAAATATTTAGAAAAAGTTTTTATATATTAAAAAAGTATTTGATTTATATTTATACAAACTTTTTTGGTTTAAAAAAGTATTCGGTTAATTAAATTTTTAATCGAAGAAAAATGTTCGGTTGCATCAATATTAATCACAAATATTTTGTTTCAAAAACTAAATGCACTTCTTCAGGAAGACTATTACAAAAATGTATTTTTTCATTTAAAGGACGGAGGAAGTGAAGATGCAGAGCAATCTTCTGAAGGCAGTTCTGCAGGAACAATATTCTGCACCTTAGAACAAGATTATGCAAAAGTAAAATTTTGCTGAATAATTATGTTCAAAATATTTATTTTTACTAAGTGTATAGTAGATTTTACTTTTAATAATACTCTGTAAACAATTAAAATTTTAAAATATATTTTTAGTTTTTAATTATTTACAGGGTGTCTAGCGAATTATGATTTTCAAATTCCCGGCAAAATCCCGGATTTCCCGGAACTAAAACTAAATTATTCCCGGATTTATTTTTTAAAACATTAATCACTATACTATTAAAATTGCATTATTTTTTAAATATAGTGAACCTGGATTATCAGAACTAAGGTATTTATATTAAAATTAACTGAATAATCAATCGAATTTCTTTATTTTTATGAGATTTTTGTACCAATAGATGTAAAAATTTGAAGTTTTTGTTTAAAATGACGCAAAAGTTTGGATAAAATGATTTAAAGTTCGGATAATGGAGAGTTCAGATAATCGAGGTTTCACTGTAATAAAGTTAAAAACCTTGGTATTTATATTTAAACTTTCAGTTTAAAACTTTAAAATATTAAAAGCTTATACAACAAGTATATAAATAATAATAATAATATATGGTTAGGGGTCGTCCATATACCACGTGGACACAAAAGTTTAATTTTATATCTTTTTTTTCTTGTTATTCAACTTTATTATTAGATTGTGATCAGACAATATTTGTATGTAATCCGAAATTTATTTAACTGTCAAAAAAACGCCAAATTCTTTTTTAATTTATATTACAAAATCATTATCGTAAATGCACAAATATGAATATATGCTTAGGAATACAAAGCAACCTCTACAAACTCTTACAAATTCTAAAAAAAATAATTTCTATTATTGTTTATGTGAAGGCTTAATCTATTGGATTTTAGAAAATTTAAGATTTGTTGCCGAAGAGATTAAGTATTTCTACTAATATAATAATTGAAGATATATTGCTGCCAAAGTCCTCTCCATAATACTAAAATGGTATTTACCTATTTAATAATGTTTTAAGATAATTTAATCTCTATTGAATTTTAAAGAAGTTTGTTATAAAAAAATTTAAAGAATTTTTTAATTGTATTTCTTATTAAATATCTTTTTATTATTCACTATTTTAAAATAAAAAACCCAATTGTCCACGTGGACAATCAGGGGGGGGAGAGGGGTTCGTCAAAAATCCACGATTGTCCACGAGGGGGAGGGGGGGGGTCAAAAAGTGTCTAAAAAGTGTCCACGTGGTATATGGACGACCCCTTAATTCTACGTCAAAAATATTTTTTACTTATTCGATTTAGAAAAAAGGTGTAATATTTATCCTTTATATTTCTATTTTATAGGGGGTCAAATATTTTTTGTAAACTATCCTTATTACTTGTAAGTTGTATATTAGATTAATATAAAACTATAGTTTGTTATTAAAATTAGCTAGTTTTTTTTAAAGAAAATTGAGAAAAATTTCTTTCTCCAACACTTGCTCTGAAAAGAGTACTTTTCTTGGTAGAAAAGTGTGGCGAAAGTAGAACTTTTCTCAACTGCTCTGAAGAGCGTGGCGAAAGTAAATTTGGCGTGGCGAAAGTAAATCATGAATTTATTCTTTTTTCTTGTTCTTTGACCGAGATTTATTTTGTATCTAACTTCTTCTCCACTCAAAACATTCGCCTTTTATTATATTAAACATAAGCAGACGTTAAATTAAAATTATACGAAACTCACGAAGAAACCTTTCCTCGCAAGGCGTTGGAGAAAACGTAGTGCACAACTCGTGGTGAAAGAATGATTTTTCTCGAGTGATTGCTGCTCTCGCTACGCTCGAGTTGCAAACTTCACTCTCGAAAAATCACACTTTCGCCACTAGTTGTACAATGTACTATTACCTCAAGATTATTCAAAAATTGATTAAAAATTAAGCTTCTGTTCTCGGCACATTTTTCTAAATTCAATAGTTTTAAAGTTTAATGGAAAAAAAGTTAATAATTGAAAATAAGTCTACTTTTAAAAATCTTAAATTTTGTTTAATTTATAACTAAAAAATTTGGTTACCTACAAAATGTGAAAAAATAGATTTACATTTTTCTTATACACAGAATGAGTAAAAAAAATTTTTTTCCTAATTTCAAATGTGGACTGAAATTTAACGTGGAATTGCCTATATACCTATAATAATTCTTTACTAAATTGTTGAAAAATATGACTTAAATTGAAATTTTTTTAAATAGATTTTAATGAATTAGCGAAACTTTCCAAAAATTCACGGATATTTTTTCCAATTCCCGGCAATTTCCCGGGTTTTTCCCGGTTGAACTAAATTCCCGGTTTTCTCGTTTTTCCCGGACGCTAGACACCCTGTATTTACAAACTGTTATATTTTTAATTAATTTTAGAAATTCATACATTAAGAAAAGACTTATCAAATATGTATAATTTGACAATTTCTAGATTATAAAGGAAATGAAGAGCAATGAAGCACTTGCTCCTTATGAGGAAGAATATACTAGACTTTTTGAATCTCTATACAAAGCCCATCGAAATGAAAATGAATTAACTGAAAAATGCAAATCATTTCAAGTAAGATTTTACACTTATAATTTTTTCGAGTAAACTTTTTTTTAATGGACCTTTAGAATTTCAATTAATATTCAAATAATTTCTTCAACTTTAATCCAATATTTTTAATTACAGGAAGAAGTGGTACAATATGTTGAAAAAATCGACGAACTTGAAACAAATTTAGAAGTAAATGAACACACTATAAATAAATTGAAACAAGAAATTATAAATTCAATGAAACTTGCAGATGCTGCACATTCAAGGGAACAAAATTCTCAAGAAATAATTGAAAATTTACGGGGAGCATTAAAAAAATTTAAACACGAACTTAGTCAAAAGGAGAAATTAGCATCAGAACAAGTGTAATTATATTAACGAAATTAAACCAATATGTTATTGTTTACAGTAGATAAAAAAAATGCAAAAACTGAAAAAACTTATTTATCTTAAAAGTAATAAACATTTTTAATATTTGTAATACAGAACGTTGATGAATAAACAAAAAGAGGGTTTTGGACCTGATCGAGATAAACTTGTAGGAGAAATAGAAACGCTAAGAGAACGATTGAAAGCAACAACTAAATATAATAGCGATCTTGAATTAAGAAACGCTGAAATTGAAAATCAAAGGACCGAAATTCAGGAAAATTTAGACGTACAATTAAATGAATACTCAAAAGAACATCGCTTGCGTGAAAAAGCGGAAGAGACGATTCAACAATTACAAGAGGAATTAAAAAAAAATATTAGCGAATTACAGGTAAAACCAAAAAATCTAAATTACATACAATTTTCAATTAATTTTCCGATTATCAGGGTTGTCACAAAAATTTAATTTCCTTTTTCCCTGACTTTTTCCTAATTTCTAGACAAAATTTTGACTCTTTCTCTGATACGTCTATAAAAAATTCAAAAGCAGTGCAATTAGAAAGAAAGATAATTTTTAGAATCAAAAATTTAATTTAACACTTGTGTCTGCCTATTTTAAAAATAAAATGACAAAATTCTTTTCCTTAATTTCTGAAGAAAAAATTTTTAAATTCAATTATTTTTAATCAAATTCTTAGAAATTTCAAATATTAAAAAAAAATTTCAAATACTTGTTTATAAAAATTTAATTATCTTCAAAAACTAGAATTTAATTATTTTAAAAAACGAAGTGTTGAAAATTTGAAATTAAACTTTTCGAAAATTCAATTTTAAAAAAAAAATTTGAAATTTAAATCTTTTTCAAATTTAATAAGTAATTAATAAATATTTTAATAGTAATTCTTTCGAAACTAAATTATTTTAGATGCAAGTTTGACCCATTAATGCAGTTTTTACACTAGCAAATTTATGAATATATTCAATATTGTGATTCTTTGTTAAATTCAATTATTTGACAATTATTAAATAAAAATGTTCTGAAAATTAGATTTTTAAAAAATTTCTAATCAAATATTTTAACAGCATAATTATTTTCAATTCAATTTTACAAAATTATTTCTGAAAATTTCAACAGAAATAAGAATAATCAGGGTATTATTTTAAAATGATTCACAAGTTTTGAATGTTGAAATCAATGAAATATTTTCTATTAAAACTACTTTCACATAAATTACTGATTGCAACAAAAACTGAAAACTTATAAACTTTACATTTCGAAATTTTATAATTAATTTTTTTTTATAGTAAAGCAAAATTACAGTAATAAGAATATAATTTCGAAAAAGAAATACATAAATAAATTATGTTTATTTGAACCTTCAAAACTTTAGGATCACATTTTAAAATACATTGAGATTCAAAAGTTTTTAAGGCTAAAAAATAAACAAGGAGAATTATAATCCATAAGTTTTAAAAACGTTCAAATGAATGAAATATTTTTTATTAAATTTTGTGTTATAAATTACTAATTAAGACAAAAATGGAAGACTTAAATTCAACATTTATAAATTATATAATGAGTTTTTTTGTTATGCAACGCAAAACTATTGTAATAAAATTTTCATTTGAAAAAAAAAATAAATCGTTCATTTGAAAGTTCAGAACTTTAAAGAACAAGGAGAATTCAAGGTTTTTAAGTTTTTAAAAACTGTTTTAGAACACCAAACAACCAGAGTTTTTGTAGTCATTTTAGAAATTCCATATTATTCCAGTACTTTTTATGAAATTCTCTAATTTTCCTAACCAATTTTATTTTCCCTGGCCTGTGGCAACCCTGCAATAACAAATATGTACAGAATTTACAAGGAATTTAAAAATTATAACAGTCAGCAAATATAGCAGTGAAAACTATGGGAAATCATGCAACAAAACTCGAGAGCCAAATAAAAGACCAAAAGCTTACAAATGAAACTTTACAGCAAGAAATTAATAAATTATTATCAAGAAAAATGAATATGCAAACAGATTTTGATAATTTAAACGCCCGTAATCAGAATACTGAAAAGAAATTGTCAGAAACTGAACGAAAAGTCGACACAATGAAAATTGAAATACAAAAGTAATTTAATAAAAGCTAAACTTACAAAAAATTAACACACAGATAAAGAATTATTGTTAAAAATGTATCTCAACTATATTTTATTAAATATTTTTTAATTTTGCAGAATGCGTGACGAAAATTCAAAATTAAAAACAGAAAAAGAATTGCTGTCCAAAAAAGTAGTGAAAGAAGAAAATTTGAAATTTACTATTCAAGATGATTTAAAACAAACGCAAATTAGTCAAAAAAATGCCGAAATTGAAATTTATTCTCTACAAAAATTTCTTGAAAATGAAAAGAAAGTGAAGGAGAAAATTATTCGCGAAAAAGAAGCAAATGGAAAATCAATAGCTAGCCTAAAGGAAACCATCAAATCTTTACAAATGGAAGCCAATATTCATGAGCAAATACGTAGAAAAATGGAATTAACCATCGAAGATGCTGGACAAAATGCTGAAGAATCGAAGAGAAAAATTTTCCATCTAGAAAAAGAGAGAGATAAATATTGTCATGAGGCTCAAGAACTTTCTGATAAGGTAAGATGATTCACAAATTTTTAACTTTCAAATGAACGAAATGTTTAATTAATGTTTAACTTAAAAAATGTTTATAAATTACTGATTGTAATAGAAATTAAAAACATAAATTTAACATTTAGAAACAAAGTAATAAAAGAAATTTCTTATTTAAAGAAAAATAATAATAAAATCAAATATTAAATTTAAAATAGGTAGAAGATCACATTGATGAATTAAAAATTAAAAGAGCTGAGATATCTGACTTAAAGAAGCGTCTTTATGAAGCTGAATCTAAACTGAGACAACAGCACAATGCCTACGAGGCATTAAGAGGCGAAAATAATTCACAACTGACAAATTTATCAGAAGCAAAAGATGAAATAAGAGAATTAAAGCAGAAATTAAAGATAACAAATAAACAAGTAGAACAATTAAAGGAAGAAGTTGCCCTAAAGGAAGTCAGTATAACAAATGGAGAATTCTGTACGTTAAACATTATCCATCTAAATAATATTAATAGACAGACCTCGGATCGTTCATTTTATTCAAAATGTTGACACAATTTCACTTTCTACTTTCCAGACATTTCACTGATTTATAAATTCGATTCTTTAAAACTTCAACAATTTTATTAAATAAATTTTTAAATACTTGTTACTTATTTTTCCACAGGATTTAAATTTTCGAAATTTCAATTTCAAACCTTCTGGAATTTAGTTATTTTTAAAAATTACAACAGTAATCCTTCTGACATTTATTTCCTAGAATTTTCAAATCAACTTCTTCTCTAAATAAATTATTTTTAATAATTTTTCGAAATTAGTTCTTTCAGATTTAAATTATTTGAATACAAAAATATGATTTTTTGTAATAATTGTAATTGCAAATCATAATAGTTTTTTTAAAGTTCTAAAGGTCTACTATTGAAAATATATAACAAAAAATGTAGAAAATAATTATTTATAAAAAAATTCTTAAAATTAGTTTTTTAAAAATATTTTAAATAATTTTTTGAATTATAAAAAATTATTTTTTAAATAGGTAATTAAAAAATGTTCAAATCAAAATCTTGTAAAATTTTTGAAAAATAATTAAATTTTTAAAACACATGAATTATAAATTTTTTTAATAATTGTTTTCTTCATTTTAACTGTAAATCTAAAAAATGAGATTGATTTTTCCTAAATATTATTTAAATTTTCGTAAATATGTAATTGGAAATATTGAAAATAATTGAATTTTAAAAAATTACATATAATGAAAAAATTGTAACAATTATTTAAAAAAATATTTTAATATAACTTTTTGAAAATAATTTTTTATTTAGATTTTTCATTAAGACTAGATAAAAAAATCGGTTAAGGTACAGTTTTTCTAAAACGTATTTTCTAATTTTTTATTTTCTAAAATTTTTTTTTTCCAATAAAGATGAATTTCTAAAAAACTTTTTTCTAATAAAGGTGATTTTCTGATTTTCTAATTTTTTTCTTCTAATAAAGGTCATTTTCTAAAAATATCTTTTTTTAATAAAGGTAATTATCAAAATTTTTTTTTCTAACAATACTTGAAATTTCGTTAAAAAATCATAATAAAAAATAGAAATTATGCAATTTTTTCAACAAAATTTTAAAATAATTTAGTTAAAAATCTAAATCGTAATTAACAAATAGAAATTACAGGGAATTTTTTCCTAAAGATATTTAAAATTTTCTAAAAAAATGTTTTATAAATAAACTAATTTTGAAAATTTTTGTATAAAAATGATGCAAATTATTTTTTTTTCAAAAATGAATAGAATTTTGTTAACAAATTGTGATAAGAAATAGTAATTTTATAAAAAATGTTCTACTTTTTCGAAAAGAAACTTATAATCTTGTAAATAAAATTGTAATTCAGAAACAGAAAATATGCAAAATAGTTTCTATTTTTTCTGACTTTTATCAAAATTTTGAAACTTTACAAATTTTAGGAAAATAAATATTAGAAATCAATAACTTTTTAGAAAACCTTTTTTTTGTAAGCAGATTTCATTAGAAATCGCTTTTTTTAGACAAAAAGGATAAGAAAATATTTTTTAGAAAAAGTGATCACTGATCACCTACCAAAAAATAGTGTTTTTTCCAATATTTGGAAGAAAAGTAAAAAAAAGTCGCATTTTTTAAAATTAATTCAAAAAATTAAGTCAAAAAATTCATATACTATCGAAAGCCTATATACAATATTTTCATTAACACATTTTTTTCAGTATTAGGAAAAGCAGAAAAAGAAAAAGAGGAATTAAAGTCTGAAGTACAAAAATCTTCCAAGAATCTGTCAATATTAAAAGAAAAAATTGAAGAAATGAAAAATGAAGAAAAACATTTGAGACAAAATGAAAATCAAGCACAAATGAAAATAAATCGGCAGAAAAAAGAAAATGACGCTGTTCTAGTGGAACGTGACGTTCTTGGCACTCAATTAGTAAGACGAAATGATGAAATTTCTCTTCTTTATAATAAAATAAAAGTATTGGAAGACATTATTCAACGTGGTGAAAAACAATATACCCAAAGAGTCGAAGAAATAAGATTGTTCAAATTAGAAATACAAAAATTAACAAACGAAAATCTGCTTCTAAATAAAAATATAAATAATACCGGAAATCTGAAATTTGATCTCATTCATGTGCAACAAAATCTAACAAGAGAAAAATTAAAAGTCACTGCACTGGAAGAAGAACTTCAAAATCCATTGAATATTCACAGATGGAGAAAATTACAGGTACATTTTGGAAAATATGTTTTAAAAATACTGATAGAACTGACATTGAAATTTTAATTTCTTCTCAGGGAACTGATCCTAATACGTTTGAAATGTTAAGAAAAATTCACATTTTGCAAAAACGTATATTAAAAATGTCTTCACAATTAATTGTGAAAGAGAAAACAATTAAATATACGGAAAGATTGTATACAAACGTGAAAGAAATATTAGGAAAGCAACCAGGAGTAGAAGTGACGGAGATGTTAACAAAAACTCGAAAAACTCTCATAGATAGAAGCAATAAGATAAAAGTAATTATAATTATTGTAATTTCACAAATTTAATTTACTCACCGAATAATTTCTGAATTAAATATTTTCAGGGTATACTTGCAGAGAGAAACATGTTTGAGGCTTTGGCAAGTGAACAAAAATTTGATAATGAAAGATTAAACAAAGAATTAAATGAATTGAAAAAAAAATATTATAGTTTAAAAAATAAAGGACAAAATTATAATAAAGATAAGCAAACAGCGATAACTATTTTGCCATCAATATCATTATCAGAAAAAAAAGTTTATGGTGGAGGCTTTAATATGACTGTGACTAAATCACAAATTAATTAATGAAATCCAATGTATAACGACTAATGTAAATATGAAAATGCAATGGAAAAAGAGTTTCTATAAATATACGACACTGTAAATAAACACATTTACTTTTACCGACCAATTTTAATCGAATCATCAAAATTACTTACGGATTTAAATCTTCCCTTTATTGGTAGACTTCCTTTCTCATTTTTCAAGATTCCTTGTCTTCTACAAAAACTGATAGCCGACACGGATATAATAACTTCCAAGAAAAACTGTTCCACCCTCAAAGATATTCATCATCATCCAACTCGCAGAATTCAATGATTTTTAAGAGTGAGCTGAAAAATGTTCAAAAGTAATCAATATAAATTCTTTCTAAATTCATATTTTAATATAAATACTAAATTTAAAAACAATTATAAACTATTAAAATTTTTACTCTAGTATAAATAGTAAAATAATAATAAATTTTCCAATATAATAAAAGATTAAAAAATATTATAATACAACTTTAAAAAAATATAATTTTAATGAAAGCAAATTGTTATTTATAATTTACAATCAATTATTAGTCATTATAATATCCATAATACTTTTACTTTTTATTATAATTATAATTGTAATATTAGATATATATAGTAATTTTTAAATTATTATAAATTTTAATTTATAACTTAGAATTAGAAAACTAATTATTATTATTATTATTAATAAAATTTTGAATTTTTTGATTTAATCTTGAATTTTTAATGTACCTATCATATCAATATCAAAATGTCATTATATTATGGAGGGTTGTCGCAGGTCAGGGAATTCAGGGAAAAATCAGGGAAAGTAAATTTGGTCAGGGAAAAGTCAGAGATTTTTATTGAAAGTTCTGGAAAAAATTAAATTTTTTAAATTCATAAGAAAATTCAAAATTTTTGTGTCTTTTTTGTTTGCCTTGTAAACTATGAAATTACCACGAATTCTAATACAAAACCTTCAATTTTTTCTATTTCTGACAATAATTACTTTTTAAATAATTTAATAATTCTCAAAAAACTATTATCAAATTATTACTTATTTATTTAATGAATAATTTTACTTAAATATTTCAAAATTAATTGAATTTTACAAGTGCTGCGTTTACAATTTTCATAAATAGATCAACTTCAAAAGATTTTAATTAAAAATTTTATACAATTTGGAATGAATATAATTATAAATTTTAAAGAACTTAGATTTTTAGAAAATTTTAATAATTCAAATTCTTCTAAAATTAGTTAAATTTAATTATTTTAAAAAATTTAAATAAAATTCTTGGCAAAATTTCAATTATTTTTCTAATAATTGACCCTCTTAATGAGTTAAGATTTGACTGTAATGGGATTAAAGTACTACCCCAGCAGAGTAAAATCCCCAAAGGATTTTAAAAAATTAACGGCTGTTTGATTCTTATTGTAATTTTAAGTTTTGATAATTCAGTAATTTATTGAATAATCGCTCTAATCAACTTTTGGTATTTTGACAATAACTTTTTACTTTCTTGAGTAAAATTGTAGTTTTTATTCCAATAAACAAATTTCATTAACGAACTATTGTTAAAAAATTACCTTTAGTTAATGTTTTGGAGAAAATTATTCGATTTTTCTCAATTTTTTCACACTACACCGCAAAATGTTATGTTTTTTTATTTAAACTAGCTCCTCCGACGGCCGCAAGCGGCCGTCTACGGTGCTAGTTTTTATATGTCCATTGTCCAAGTCCATTATTTCATTAATAATAATATTCAAATTTTTTCAGTTAATAATTTGCTTATTTATATTTGAAATGTTGACGTTTTTTTTGACCATGCAAAATAAGATTTATTATGAGTACTTTCTCTTAACAAAAATAAAATTTATATATTCGCGCTCTTTTTAAATAACATGTGGGGATTGGCCAATAGATCTCGCATCTACGCCAATTTCCCATATAGATCTCTCACAAGTGCAATACGGGCTAGTCTTGTAGCATATATACAAGTTCCGAATTTGCTTCCCCCGTCTAGGGCAGGTCTCCCACTACGTAGCCTTACTGATGAGTCCAAGTAGTGGGGACCGGGACGAAACGATATAAAGTGGTCTTCATACCACTCTATGGATGATATACTTTTAAATCTCCATAAACATACGACTGCAGCGCCACCTTCACATGTACAAACAATTTTAAAAACACCCTTCTATTAAGATTTTACATCCTCATTGCCCATTCTTTACTTCGATACTTTTCGATACATTCGACCTTTCCACTCCATGTCTTTTTTAAGAAAGGATTTTTACTGAAACGTTATTAAAATTAAAATTAAATAACTCTTTTGAATATTTAAATAAAAAATTTTACTCAAGTCAGATTAGTGTCTATAAATTCCGTTTTGGAAACTAAAATTTCAATGTTTTAAGGTTTTTGGTCTATTTGGAGAAAAATATCACTATATATTTTTCTTTAACTTCCCAGTAAAAAAAAACTAATTCAAATGAATTGAAACGAATTAACATTTTTGGTAGGCTCCAATTCGTATTTGTCACAAAGCGGGATTCACGAAAGCTCTTTGTGAATTCTTTTTAATTCATTTCAATTAGTTTTCGTTTACTGGGTTTATCACTAGAAATTAAAATGTAAACTTTTTATTTTAATGTAGTATATAATTTAAGTGACATTATTTCGAAGCTGATTCAATTACGTGGTTTTTATCACTGAAATCAGTACAAAAGTAAGACTAAGAAGTATAATTTATTAAAAAACATATTTAAAATATGCTCGCACCTTAACTAAAATAGAAAAGTTGTCAAAAATGCACGATTTACTGCCCAAAAGCTGATTAGAGCCATTATTCAATAAATTACTGAATTATCAAAACTTAAAATTATAGGGGAGAGGGCCCCAAGATGGACAGGGCCCCAAGATGGACATTTCCTATAAAATTTTTGTTTAAAGTGACAGCATCTTCTCAATTTTTTTATTTTTGTTGTTTGTATAGATGAAGATTTTTATGCATATTTGAAAAAATAAAACCAGTTTTTTTTTCTACTGCGCATATCACCTGAATTTTTTGTCAAAAAAGTTTTATTTCCGATTTTTCTCAAGTCGATAAAGTTATTTAAATTTTTTATTTTAGATAGGTATTTATCGTTATAATATTATTTATTTATCATATAACAATATTCTAAAATGATTTTATTAATATTTTGTTTGTATACAATTTTTTTCTGGGTTTCAAAAAATGGTGTCATTTACCCTAAGATGGACACTTTCGAGACCCTAAGATGGACACCACATTTCAATGTATTTATTTTCATGTTTTCGATTAAACATTTTTTTTAATAATTTTGTAAGTCTCGTAATTGAGATTTTTTATGTTTACCGTCATGGAATGTAGAGATATCGATAGAGAATTTGAAAAAAAAATAAAAAGAAAAAAAATTATAAAATTAAGATTTTTAATAATGTTATTCCTAGTAAATAGAATAAAATGATTAAACATTAGTTTAAAACTTAATACAGGATGTTTATCTTTAATTTACCACACTTTAAAGTGATTTTTAAGAAGGTGTCCATCTTGGGGCCACTTTTTTTTTGGTCAAAAATTTTAACAATTAGAAAAAATGCTATAAAAAATGTTTAAGTTCAAAATAAAATTTTATCTCAGTGGCCATAAGTTACCTAATAAATTGTACTTTCATTTAGTATAAAACATTTTAACATATCTTATTCGGTTTGGATTTTAGAGCCATCAATCGAAGAGGTGTCCATCTTGGGGCCCTCTCCCCTAATAAAAATCAAACGCTTACTAATTTTTCAAAACCCTTTGCTACTTACTTTCATCCCATTATAGTCAAGTCTTAACCCAAAAAAATTTTTTTAAATTGTTCCACTGTGTAATTTTCCATATCTACTATTTTAATACAATTTTTCAAAAGAATTCAGTTATTTAAAAAAGATTTTGATATAAATTCTACGCAAACATTGAATTATTTTTATAAATAATACAAATTTCACAGGAATTCAATTATTTACAAATTTTTTCTAAATTTCTTCGCAATAATTCCATTATTTTGATAAATAATAAAACTCATTGCAGAATTTCAATTATTTTGAATTGAAATAATGAAAATAATTTCGAAGAAGTTATAGTAACAATATTCTTATATAATTTAAAATAATGATTTTGAATCATGAGTTTGAATATAAAATTTTAGAAAATCTTAATTCTTATGTAAAAATAATGATTAAATATTTATTGAAAAAAAAAACTGTTGATGTTGTGAATAATTTTACAATTAAAGAAATTCGTAAATAAATGTAATAGAACATGTTTTTAAGTATCTAATAATTTTTAGAGTGAATCAAAATATTCTTTAGAGTCAGGGAAAAAGCAAAATTTTGTCTGGAAATCTGGGAAAAACAAAATTAAATTTTTGTGGCAACCCTGTTATGTTTTTTTTATGAATCAATAAAAATAATGAATCAAATTAGAATATTTACCAATGTAGTTTCTGGATACATAAGAACCTGTTAAACCATTAGACCAAATGGTTCTCAAATCTTTCTCTTGTTTACAATTTTCTTTTGTTTGCAATTTTCGAAAAGATAGACTCTGAGAATTTCTGGTGGTTTTCAAAAAATTGAGCTAAAAAAACAAATTATTAGCAAATTATAAACAATTCTCAATAATAGATAAAATAATGTAATTTAATTTTTCATTTGTTTATATAAATTTTATTTTATTTTAAACTATATGTTTATGATCATCATGCTTTATTAGCTAAAGTATTAAAATTACTTAAGAATCAGAATTTTTGGAAAAATTTTTGTATTTATCAAATTACTCCTGCTTGTCCGTTGTTTTCTGATAGAAATTCTTTTCATTCATTTTTCACGATTCCATGATTTTTAAGAAATAAGAATGAACCGAAAATTAATTCCAATATTGAATTAATAAATTTGTTCTGTGTTCATATTTTAATGAACTAATATTTTTCAACTTAGAGAAAGATAATTAAAACGAAGTGGCTATTTCGCCCGATGTCGGGCGAAACAAGAAAAATTTTTTATTTCGC